CTTCCGCACCTCTCTCCTTCCTTCCGCACCTCTCTCTTTCCTTCCGCACCTCTCTCCTTCCTTCCGCACCTCTCCCTTCCTTCCGCACCTCTCTCCTTCCTTCCGCACCTCTCTCCTTCCTTCCGCACCTCTCTCCTTCCTTCCGCACCTCTCTCCTTCCTTCCGCACCTCTCTCCTTCCTTCCGCACCTCTCTCCTTCCTTCCGCACCTCTCTCCTTCCTTCCGCACCTCTCTCCTTCCTTCCGCACCTCTCTCCTTCCTTCCGCACCTCTCTCCTTCCTTCCGTACTCTCTCCTTCCTTCCGCACCTCTCTCCTTCCTTCCGCACCCCTCTCCTTCCTTCCGAACCTCTATCCTTCCTTCCACACCTCTCTCCTTCCTTCCACACCTCTCTCCTTCTTCCGCACCTCTCTCCTTCCTTCCGCACCTCTCTCCTTCTTTCCGCACCTCTCTCCTTCCTTCCGCATCTCTCTCCTTCCTTCCGCACCTCTCTCTTTCCTTCCGCACCTCTCTCCTTCCTTCTGCACCCCTCTCATTCCTTCCGCACCTCTCTCCTTCCTTCCGCACCCCTCCCTTCCTTCCGAACCGCTATCCTTCCTTCCGCACCCCTCTCCTTCCTTCCGAACCGCTATCCTTCCTTCCGAACCTCTCTCCTTCCTTCCGCACCTCTCTCCTTCCTTCCGCACCTCTTCTCCTTCCTTTCCGCACCTCTCGTCCTTCCTTCCGCACCTCTCTCCTTCCTTCCGCACCTCTCTCCTTCCTTCCGCACCTCTTCTCCCTCCTTCCCCCTCTTCCCCCACCTCTCTCCTTCCTTCCGCACCCCTCTTCTTTCTCTTCCGCACCTCTCTCCTTCCTTCCGGGCACCTCTCTCCTTCCCTTCCGCACCCCTCTCCTTCCTTCCGAACCTCTATCATTCCTTCCCGCACCTCTCACCTTCCTTCCACACCTCTCTCCTTTCTTCCGCATCTCTCTCCTTCCTTCCGCACCTCTCTTCTTCCTTCCGCATTCCTTCCCGCATCTCTCTCCTTCCTTCCGCACCTCTCTCTTTCCTTCCGCACCTCTCTCCTTCCTTCTGCACCCCTCTCATTCCTTCCGCACCTCTCTCCTTCCTTCCGCACCCCTCTCCTTCCTTCCGAACCGCTATCCTTCCTTCCGCACCCCTCTCCTTCCTTCCGAACCGCTATCCTTCCTTCCGCACCTCTCTCCTTCCTTCCGCACCTCTCTCCTTCCTTCCGCACCTCTCTCCTTCCTTCCGAACCTCTCTCCTTCCTTCTGTACCTCTCTCCTTCCTTCCGCACCCCTCTCCTTCCTTCCGAACCTCTATCCTTCCTTCCGCACCTCTCTCCTTCCTTCCGCACCTCTCTCCTTCCCTTCGCACCTCTCTCCTTCCTTCCGCACCTCTCTCATTCCTTCTGCACCTCTCTCCTTCCTTCCGCACCTCTCTCCTTCCTTCCGCACCTCTCTCCTTCCTTCCCCACCTCTCTCCTTCCTTCCGCACCCCTCTTCTTCCTTCCGCACCTCTCTCCTTCCTTCTGCACCCCTCTCCTTCCTTCTGCACCCCTCTCATTCCATCCGCACCTCTCTCATTCCTTCCACACCCCTCTCTTTCCTTACGAACCTCTATCCTTCCTTCCGAACCTCTATCATTCCTTCCGCACCTCTCTCCTTCCTTCCGAACCTCTATCCTTCCTTCTGCACCTCTCTCCTTCCTTCCGCACCTCTCTCCTTCCTTCCGCACCTCTCCTCTTCCCTTCCACATTCCGCTAGATCTTTTAGGTGGGTACATGCAGGGGCACAGGAACACGTTTCTCTCTCTCCTACCCGCAACTCTCGAACCCCTAGTCTCTGGCTTCGGTTTGCGTCTTTCGCGCCGTGCAAAATCGACTCACTGTGGTACTAGTAACTTGCGACGCTAAGCGCGAATGGATGTAGAGCTGGGAAGATTCAGGCACTCATATACCGTGTGGAAAGCAACACATATCTATGCGGAGTTGAGTGCATTTTTTTCAGCAGCGCTTCTGCCGTTGTTCGCGTCTGTTATTTGGTTTCATTGCCCCTAGCGCGTTTGCCGCTGGGCACAATCTGGTGCTTGCCTGGTGGTTTTGTGTGTGACGCGATTTTGTGACACGTTTTTGCTTGCAAGGAGGTCACAGGTTTGGCGAAGGTTTTTCTGTTTGCGAAGGGGTAGGTCGGTTTGGCCTTGTTTCGCAATTCCAATTTTGAATATCTGGTTCCTCGTCATTTTCGCAGCCAATCGCAAACCTTTCGCCCTCTCCCGAGCCGCACACTGCAAATCTGCTTTTCGCGGCTTGCAACTTGGGATCTGGGCTTTAAGATTAACAAAAATACTAGCAGTTCTGTCGCCAGCCATTGTCTTGACATTACGCCACGTAAAGAACGAATGTTCTAATGTGGAAGGTTCAAGAGGTTTTAGGTTGGTTAATCTTAAGACACGTCATCTCAAGCCGAAGAGTTTGACTACCGATTGGCGACAGCTCATCAGTTTCGAAACAGACTCCGTTTCAGCTGCGAAAGTCTTACAGCCCTAGCGATGGGGCAGGTTACCCGACAATATGGCAGAACAGACGCGCCACTCCAGCCTTATTTATTTGCAAAACTGCGGCCGTTGCCGCCCGAGAAGTGTACAAGCACATTTTGCCCGGCGTTTTGGCCAGAGGATACATGCACGAACCGCGCAAAACTCTCGAGTTTCTGAATCCAGGAACATGTGTATTGCACAGACCGAGCCTTCTGCCCGTGCCAGCTTGCACAAGACAAGACGGTTTGTTTTTCGATCGATTGGTCGGACACATATGGCCAAATCGCCTGGAACAAGCGGGCTTGTCCTTAGTGCGCGCTGGGGGTGAGCATGTGGACAAACAGTGGGTGGATGCAACGGTGCCCTCGCTGCAATGTGTTGCGGTGGATGATGAGATGATGGTCCTCTCTGCTGCAACTCCCTGCAATCGATTTGGCTCAGCTTGGTGGGGGAAGGGGGGGGGGGGGGGGGGGGGGGGGGAATCTGACCGACCCCCTCCCCGAATCAATCACCCCCCTCCGAAACGGTCCCAAAAGCATATGCGCAACAGGTGGAGGTGCAGCAGATGGCTGATGGGGCTTTTTAGATGCACGAACACCCGACGGGCCACTCCAGAGGTGAAAAATATTATTGTGTAGGTTCGCGGGTATCGTAATCTACCAGCCACCCGGTGTGGTACGGACCAAAAGTGTAGTTTGACCAGCTGGTGCGAAACAGCATGTCCACACCACATCGTCACAACACTGCGGAATCCGCTTTGTGGCTCAGTAGGACAGGACACTCGCGGCAACAGGTTCAAGGGCGCCTATTATTCAGGGGAACCAACAATCGTGGACAGCGGTAGCGGGGTGGAGGTCGCAGCTTCAGCCAGCAAGCAGTTGTACCTGACGGGATTGCAAAAGCACCGCCTTGCTGAGCTGCGGTGGAGCAATGTCTGCTGCAAAGCTGCGCAGGCGAGGCAGAATGGAGGGTTTCAGTGTAAGAGCCATCAAAACAGTAGCTTTTTCTAGCTTCTCCGTACAAGGCAGTGACACAGATGCGCGTGGAAGATAAGCCTTCTTTTCCACAAAGCGTTTGCTCAGATTGACTTCACGCCGCGGAAGAAAAGTGTATGAACGAACCGTTCGTGTGCTAGTAGTACTCACTGAGAACTTGTTCGCTTAGGCTACAGGCGCCAACTTTGCGAGTTTTCAGTACATGGCGGGCCTCCCGCCATCTGCGGGCGACGGCGACGCGGCACCGCCGCTGCGCGCGCAGATCGCGTTGAACATGGACGCCATGGTGGCGCAGCTGCGCGACGACGCCGCCCTCGCGCGCCTCCCCGACGCCGCGCTGCTCCAACAGTCCGCCGCCGCCGCGCGCTTCACGGAAATCATGGCCGCCGCCTCGCTGGGCGCGCGTGGTGCGACAGGCGCCCACTCGCAAGCGCGGGAGCAGGGAAGGCCGCAGGTGGATCTAGGCGATGCAGGCAGCAACGAGAGCGCTGTCCGGCGGTCGACCGCGGCCGCGACGGGTGTGATTGCAAGCACTGCAGGCTCTGAGCGCCGTATAGGCACAGAAAGCATCATGTCGATGATGGAGACCCGATGCATGACCATGGGCGAGATCGGCCGAGGCATTGAAATGGGCGCGAATGAGAGACGAGGGCCCACGATGGACGCGGCGAGTTGCCCCAATGTGAGAGGTAACGGCAATGAGCGACGCAACCAATTGCTCCTGCTGCAGATGCACTTGTGGCAGCAACGACAGCGCCAGCAGCAGCAGCAGCAGCAGCAGCAGCAGCAGCAGCAAGAGCAAGCACAGGAACAGGAAAGGGCCATGGAGCAACAGCTACTGGCATTGCAGCAACAGCAGTGGCAGCAGCCCCTGCCGTGGCAGCAGCAGCAGCAGCTACTTTTGCAGCACGAATTGGCTCAGCAGCAGGGCCTGGTGTTGCAACACATGGCCGCCAGACACCTGACCGCGGGGCATCCGGTGCCAGCAGGGCATCAGGTGACAGCAGGGCATCCGGTGCCAGCAGGGCATCAGGTGACAGCAGGGCATCAGGTGCGCAGTGAGGTATCGCATGCCGCCTTGCCTGACCTGCAGTACCACGACGTTGCCGAGCCTCACCACTCCCACTCACCGCACCAGTACCAGCAGCAGCAGCAGCAGCAGCAGCAGCAACAGCAACAGCAACAGCAGCAACAGCGGCAGCAGCAACAGCAACAGCAGCAACAGCGGCAGCAGCAGCAGGCGCAGCTAGCCGCGTTGGAGCAGCAGCTGACGGCCAGCCTGGCGCGGCGAGATGCGGCTTTGGCGGAGGCTGGGGGGAATGAAGAGGCCCGCGCGCTGGAAGAGGAGGGGGAGGGCGAGGGGGAGGAGGGGGGAGTCAGGGAAGGTGATGAGGACAGGGGGGATGGGGAGGGGGGAATGGGGGAAGAAGGAGAGGAAGAGGGGGGGGGGGGAATGCGCGGCAGAGGATGCGGAGGCGAGTGCAGGTGGAGCGAGTGCGGCGGCAGCGAGTCAGGTGATTCTGCCCTTTGAGCTGCTGCTCCTTGCGCTCTTAACCGCCTCACCGACAGGGCCATGTGGGAGGCCGTCCTTCCCTGCACATGGCACCTCTAGTGTTCACCTAGGAATATAGGTGCACACCAACCCAACCCTTGACCCCAAGTGTTGGAGGGTGCCAACCATTATTGGCTTCCTCAAAAATGGCCAGCCCAAGCACTTTAGTCCCACCAATACGGCTGGTGAAGCCCACCCACCTTGCACCTTGCACCTTGAACCTTGCACCTTGCACCTTGCACCTTGCACCTTGCACCTTGCACCTTGCACCTTGCACCTTGCACCTTGCACCTTGCACCTTGCCCCTTGCCCCTTGCCCCTTGCACCTTGCACCTTGCACCTTGCACCTTGCACCTTGCACCTTGCACCTTGCACCTTGCCCCTTGCAACTTGCAACTTGCAACTTGCAACTTGCACCTTGCACCTTGCACCTTGCACCTTGCCCCTTGCCCCTTGCCCCTTGCACCTTGCACCTTGCACCTTGCACCTTGCACCTTGCACCTTGCACCTTGCCCCTTGCAACTTGCAACTTGCACCTTGCACCTTGCACCTTGCACCTTGCACCGCACCACGTAAGCCCCATCTGCTCGCTTGAGCTCATCTGGCCTTGTCGTCGTCAAATTTCTTCGCTCCACCAGGATTGTTTCATCCTTTGCTGTCCTTTACTCTCCCTGTGCCTCACCCTCTCTCCCTCCCTAAAACCCTCCTATCCTCCTCACGCTCTTCTCACTCCCTTTCTCCCATCCCGGCCTCCCTTGTGCCTTTCGCCTGTCCCCCTGTCGCCTCTTTCCACGCCCGCTTCATGTGACCTCGTCGCCTATTGCTCCTCGCCTTGCACTCCGCACCCCGCCATTCCCCGCCATGCGCCGCCATGCCCCACTGTGGCACGGGGGCAGGGAGGGGCTGCAGCAGCTGCAGCAGAGCATACCGTACGCGGCGGGCAACGAGGAGACCGCCTCCATGCTCGAAAACGTCGTCTCCTACATCCGCCAGCTGCAGGTGGGTGTTCACAGCTGCCGGTGAGACGTGTGCTTTCCCGGCCAGTGCGCTGCTCTCTCACACTTGTCACATTCCTTCAACTTCACCTCACTTGTGTTTCTGCACTCTCCCCGCTTTCTACTGCCTGTGTGCCGCCCATCTGCCCCCCTCCCTCCCCCAACAGGACGACTGCAGTGGGCTCGAGCACATGCTCGTCTCCACCTCCCCCTCCTCCTCCACCCCAGCCGCTGCTGCTGCCGCTGCTGCCGCTGCTGCGTCCCTTCCAGTAGCCACCAGCAACGTCAGTGCGCTGCTGCCACCGTCCCATTTCCCGCCCTTCATGGTACCGCGGCAGTCACCACCACCGCCACCACCCTGACAGGCCGCTGCACGTCCACCAGAGTTAGCACTCAGCAAGTCGCCTCGTCCTTGCCGCCTGCAGGCTTGTCGTGTGGGTGCATGTGCAACGGGCATGGGCGTGCATGAACAAGGCATGCCACCATGCCACCATGTCTTGTCGCTTTCTGCACTCTTGTCTTGAGCCATCGTGCTTCTCGGTAGCAATGCCAGTGTGTGCCCGTGTCTCTTCATATCTGCAATGCATCTGCACTTCAAATCAAAAGGGGCAGGAGGGGGAAGGGGAGGAGAGGGAAAGGGTGGGACAGCTGTGTGTGCTGCCCTGTGCTGCTCTGCTGTGTGTGCTTCCCTGTGCTGCTCTGCTGTGTGTGCTTCCCTGTGCTGCTCTGCTGTGTGTGCTGCCATGTGCTGCTCTGCTGCGTGTGCTGCCGTTTGCTGCTCTGCTGCGTGTGCTGCCCTGTGCTGCTCTGCTGTATCTGCTGCCCTGTGCTGCTCTGCTGCTCTGCTGCCCTGTGCTGCTCTGCTGTGTGTGCTGCCATGTGCTGCTCTGCTGCGTGTGCTGCCCTGTGCTCCTCTGCTGTGTGTGCTGCCCTGTGCTGCTCTGCTGCGTGTGCTGCCCTGTGCTGCTCTGCTGTGTATGCTGCCCTGTGCTGCTCTGCTGTGTGTGCTGCCCTGTGCTGCTCTGCTGTGTGTGCTGCCATGTGCTGCTCTGCTGTGTGTGCTGCCATTTGCTGCTCTGCTGCGTGTGCTGCCCTGTGCTGTGTGTGCTGCCCTGTGCTTCTCTGCTATGTGTGCTGCCCTGTGCTGCTCTGCTGTGTGTGCTTCCCTGCGTTGCTCTGCTGTGTGTGCTGCCCTGTGCTGCTCTGCTGTGTGTGCTGCCATGTGCTGCTCTGCTGTGTGTGCTGCCCTGTGCTGCTCTGCTGTGTCTGCTACCCTGTGCTGCTCTGCTGCTCTGCTGCCCTGTGCTGCTCTGCTGTGTGTGCTGCCATGTGCTGCTCTGCTGCGTGTGCTGCCCTGTGCTGCTCTGCTGTGTGTGCTGCCATGTGCTGCTCTGCTGCGTGTGCTGCCCTGTGCTGCTCTGCTGTGTGTGCTGCCCTGTGCTGCTCGGCTGTGTGTGCTGCCCTTTGCTCCTCTGCTGCGTGTGCTGCCCTGTGCTGCTCTGCTGTGTCTGCTACCCTGTGCTGCTCTGCTGCTCTGCTGCCCTGTGCTGCTCTGCTGTGTGTGCTGCCATGTGCTGCTCTGCTGCGTGTGCTGCCCTGTGCTGCTCTGCTGTGTGTGCTGCCATGTGCTGCTCTGCTGCGTGTGCTGCCCTGTGCTGCTCTGCTGTGTGTGCTGCCCTGTGCTGCTCGGCTGTGTGTGCTGCCCTTTGCTCCTCTGCTGTGTGTGCTGCCCTGTGCTGCTCTGCTGTGTGTGCTGCCCTGTGCTGCTCTGCTGTGTGTGCTGCCCTGTGCTGCTCTGCTGTGTGTGCTGCCCTGTGCTGCTCGGCTGTGTGTGCTGCCCTTTGCTCCTCTGCTGTGTGTTCTGCCCTGTGTTGCTCTGCTGTGTGTGCTGCCCTGTGCTGCTCTGCTGTGTGTGCTGCCCTGTGCTGCTCTGCTGTGTGTGCTGCCCTGTGCTGCTCGGCTGTGTGTGCTGCCCTTTGCTCCTCTGCTGTCTGTGCTGCTCTGCTGTGTGTGCTGCCCTGTGCTGCTCTGCTGTGTGTGCTGCCCTGTGCTGCTCTGCTGTGTGTGCTGCCCTGTGCTGCTCTGCTGTGTGTGCTGCCCTGTGCAACTCTGCCGTGTGTGCTGCCATGGTGCAATTTGTGCGTTGGGTTCCAATGCGAGGACCACTTGTTTGCACACACCCAGTGCAGCCGCGCGCGTGCCCCTGACACCTGCACATGCGGGCGGCACACGGCGTTCTGGCCACCAATCGCCAGCACCAGTCACTTGCCTGCATGGTGTGAGGTGCTTCGCACTAGCTGCCTCTTGCAGGAACTCTGTGAACAGTACCGCGTCTCAAAGCACCTCTGCAAACCACCTCTGCAATCACTGCTCGTCATTCAATAATTGCTGCCAGTACACCTCATACGCTGTTGGCCTGTTGACCAGTCTCTCTGATAACACGTGGTTACCACTGTGCCTTCGTGCGCCTACAACGCTCCCCTTCCCTGGCACTGGCACCAGGCCATCCACAGCATACATCACAGAAAGGACAAATGATGCCGACCCCAGCAGCATGGCCTGGAGCCTATCGGGGTCTCCTTTGAATGCAAGGAGTGCAGCGAGGGCGGTGAGCGCCGCGCACACGCTCACGCGCACCACACCCACTGCGGCGCGCACCAGCCGCCCATCTGACACCAGCGCAGGGGCCGAGGGGGGCAGCAGGGATGGATGGGATGAGGTTGAGTGCGGTGCTGCATGGTGGTGGTTGGTGTGGTGGGTGGGGCGGTGGCGGTAGAGAAAGAGGAAGTTGTACTTGTCGACGAGGAGGCGGTAGGAGAAGAAGAGCAGCCCCGCGGGCAGCACGAGGGGCGCCAGGGGTGCGTGCACCAGCACCACGCACAGCGCCGTGGTGTTGTACGCGTAGTACTGCGCAAAATCAAAGCGCAGGGGGGGGCGGTGCTTCCTGGGCGGATCCTGGGGCTCTGGCCCCGCTGCTGATGTGTCTGGTCTGGAAGAAAAGGACGCTGCTGCTTGCCCTGCTGCTGCTGCTTGCCCTGCTGCTGCTGCTTGCCCTGCTGCGGCTGCTTGCCCTGCTGCTGTTGCTGCTGCTGCTGCTGCTGGTGAAAGTGAAGGTTGTGGTGCTGTTGAAGTGGCCACTGGTAGGGATGCAGCTGGGGCTGGGGGGTAGATGTAGAGGGGCACAGTGGGCGGTGGGTGGCTGGACTGTGGCGCTATGGGCGTCTGTGTGGTGGAAAGAGAGGGAGGCGAGAGGGGAGTAGTGAGAGTGGACGGGGAGAGGAGGTGAGAGTGTGTGGCTGTCTCTGCACCTGCCTCTTCCAGCAGAGAGAGCAATCCCAGGTCACTCTCACTGCTGCTCTCACTTCCCCCCTCACTCCCTCCCTCCTCATCATCACTCGCCCCATGGGCACCTTCAGCCATGTCAGCCAACGGCCGTCCTCCACGTGTCTCAGCATCGCCATTCACGCATATACCCTCAACAGCATCCCCTGGCAAAGTCACATAAGCACCGCTCTGCACCGCTCCTTCTCCCTCGTGCATCCTTCCGCCCACCACGGTTCTCAGCCATGCTCCCACAGCCTTGAAGGCAGTGACCGCACTGGCCAGGGTCCCCCCTCTCCGCCCTGCACACCCCTGCTCTGCGCCTGCCACTCCCCCCTCCCCGCCCCCACCCTACCCAGCGCAGGCAGCGGCGCGTGGCGAGGTGCAGGCGTGGGGCGAGCCATGCGAGGGGCGCGAGTAGGTCGAGGGAGACGCCGAGCAGAGCGGAGGTGAGGAGGAAGGAGAGGGCGGAGAGGGAGGAGGCGGCGATGAGCGAGGTGTTGAGCCACTGCAGCAGCGACGGGCAGTGCGCCGGCGCCACGTAGCAGTGCGCCGAGTGCAGGATGGCCGACTGTAGCGCCGCCTCCAGCAGCGCCTGGGGGGGGAGAGGGGGGAGGGGCGGAGCAACAACAAGTATGGGCGTGCATGGCCTTGCTGCGGCGTGCTAGGACCGACCTTGAACACGTCCCTCCTCCCGCCCATGTGACCCCATTGACTGTCACCCCCTCACCCCCGCAAAAGTTCCTCGTGTGTTAACAACCAGAGCAACACTTGTGAGCACATGAAAAGTACCCTGGCCGATTTGGGGTACAGTGAGCAAAAGAAAGGGGAGCGGATGGTTGACCACCTGTGCCTCCTGGGCACCCCTCGGAGGCACGGCAAGGCGGGGCGCGCACCTTGAGCACGTAGAGGTTGAAGAGGTAGAGCGTGGTGAGCTTGAGGAAGAGCGCCGCCTGCTGTCGCGACGTCGTGATGTGCCCCTCAAACAGCGCAAGGCGGTGCAGCGCAGCGGGCATGAGGACGTACATGGCGAGGAAGGAGAGCAGGTTGGGCGCGAACTGCAGCACCACGGCTGCCACGCCGCTGTTGCTCTGGGAAACAGAAAATAGCTGGAGGAGGGAATAAGCCAAATGCACCGACCCCCCTGGGCATGCAGCCAACCCCCATGCGCATGATAGTCCGCTCTCACCTGCATCCTTGCCACTCCCACGTCCCCCCTCTCCGCCCAGCTCTTTCCCCACTCTTCACTCCGCATTCCCATCCCTCCCCGCCCCTCGCATGGCATCAGCCCTCCTTCCCCCCACTCACGCGCGCCCATGAGAGCCAGGCGTTGAGGTGGGCGACAGCAGCAGGGTCCACGCTGTGAGCGGCGTACGACACAGCGGTCAGCAGCGCCAGCGGGCACGACCACACGCACAGCGCCGCCACCACACACACATTCACCACCCATGTGCGCACATGCCTTGCCGCCCGGCTGCCGCCCACGTTCTGCCAGATGATGCTGGCGGCAGGCGGCGCGCGCTCCACCCGCCACGAGGCCGTGGCGAGGGGCGCCAGGCGCCACCGGGGGGTCACCCACAGCCGGTCCCTTAAAGCCCGGGTCGCCGTGAACGCGTCCCGGAACACCACCAGCGCCACCCCCGCCCCTCTCCCCCTGCCCCTCCGCGCCTGCTGCACCTCCCCCTCCGCCCTCCGCACCTCCTCTTCCAGCCTCCGCGCCTCCCCCTCCCAGTCTCGCGCCCCCACCCGCCACAGCCAGGCAGCGGACATGGGTGCAAGGAGGGAGGCGAGGGAGGTGCGGAGGGAGGCGAGAAGCGGGGAGAGAGAGAGGGAGAGCGAGTGAAGGGCGGTGAGCGGCAGCAGGCAGAGGCAGTGCACGGCGGAATGGGCTGCTTGGGGCGGCAGGAAGAGACGGCAGCATGCGAGAAGAGACGAAGCCACACCATCACCACCAGTCACACCCGTACCCCTGCCCATACCCCCTCTGTCTGCCTCCTCCTCCTCCTCCTCCTCCTCCTCCTCCTCCTCCTCCTCGCCTACTTCCCCCACCATATCTTCTCTCCCACCTCCCATCCCTCCCTCCCCACTCCCATCCAACCTCTGCATGCCAGCTGGCCCCTGCCGGCCACTCCACGAGATGAGTGGCTCGTGCACAGGTGCCACGTCAACAGCTCTGGGCGCAGCAGCATGCGCCTGTGCCTGTCCCCCCCTGCCTCCCCCCAGATCCGCCCCTCCCCCTTGCACCTCCGCCTCGGCCTGCAGTGCGGCTCTGGCCTGCGCGTGTGCCAGGCGCGCTCTGAGGGCGGCCACGCGCTGCAGCGCTGCCAGCGCCGCCGCCATGTCGGGCGGATGCAGCACACGGGCTGTGCGCCCGGGGTACAGACGGTCGAAGTACTCCAGGAGGACCTTTGGAGAGGGGGGGGGGGAGTGGAGACGGAGTGCAGGGCGGGCAGGGGACGAGGAGGAATTCGGACAGGAGAAAGTGAAATGGATGTGGCAAGACACTTCGGACCAGTGCTTTGGACCAGTGCTTTGGACCAGTGCTTTGGACCGACAAAGGGAGGTGGAGTGGGTGTGGGAAGAGAGTGAGGAGTGTACCTGAGGGCATGCTGACAAGCCTTTTGGAACCCCACGAATGAGAATGGTGTACTCTGCCACGTCATGAGCCGTCATGTCCACGTCATCATCATCATGATGAGTACCACCATAGGGATCACCATCAGCAGCAGCGCCGTCCCTGGCAACGCTGTGCAGCGCAGCGTAACCTTCACGAGGGCTCTCGCCATCCCCACTGCCCTCAGCCCCCTTACCCCTCACCGCCCATCCCCCCCCCCCATCCCCTGCGCCCCCCTCCCTGCTGTGCGCACCCGCCCGGGCGAGCGCTCGCTGGTGGCGGAAGGCGCGGAGGGCGAGGTGCGTGGCGGGCGGCAGCAGCAGCGCGAAGAGCGCGGGCAGCCAGAGCGCGGGCGCGGCGGGGGCGACGTGCGCGATGGTGGTGGCGCCCAGGTCGTCGCACACCCAGGGGTCCCGCCCGCGCACGTTGGCGGGCAGCAGCAGCGCCATGGCGGGCACCAGCAGGCCCGTCAGCAGCGCGCACACGCAGCGCTGGCGGACGCACGGGGGGCGAGATGGCGGAGAGGGATGTGGGGGGATACAGGAGGGGAGGGAGACGGGGGTTGGGAGCGCAGGGCAGAACGTACGACACGAGTGGGAGAGCAGGCAGCGGAAGGCGAGGACGCCGAGAGGCACGCAGAGGGCCGCGAGGAGAGGCTCGAGGACAGGCGTGTGCCACCCATGCGGCACGGGGAGGGCGGCGCATCTCACCAGCAGGATGAGGTAGTCGGCGGCGTCCGCGCCGCACAGCAGCGCCATCTGCGCGTCCGTCACGTGCCACACGGCGCGCAGCTTGCGCCACGCGTGCGTGGCGGACGGCAGGCGGTGGTCGGCGCGCAGCTTGACGGCGGCGAAGAGCGCCACGCAGCACGCGCCGCCCGCCGCGCTCACGTTCCACAGGTACTGCAGCCCCCACGCCGCGCCCGCGCCGCCCGCTCCGCCCCCATCGCCCCCGCCACACGTGCTGTTGGCGGGCGGCGGTGAGGCGAACGCCATGCGCGGAACGAGAGGCGGAAGGGGAGAGAGGACTACGGGAAGGGACGGTGCGCGCAGCAGCGAGTGGCGCGAGGAGACATCACGCGGAGAGCGCAGGAGATGCTGGACGCGTGTGCGCGGAATGCGCGGAGAGGTGACGGTGGCGTGAAAGTACGACTGCTAACGCGGGCAGGCGAGGAGGCATGGCATGTGGCGTGAGTGGTGATGGCGTGTGGGAGCAGTGGGATCGCCTAGTGCAAGGGGCGCTGGGATTCGAGGAGTTGCACAACGCATGTCAACAGGCTTGGCAATTGATCAGGAAGTGGTGCTGGCGGATGGTGTCAGTCTGCGCGCATGGCGAGGCACAGCAAGCACTGGGAGGCTGGGGGGAAGTGTAGTGTAGACGGTAAATTCGGCTATTCTATCGCGCGCATGCGTGTACAATTATTTGCATGCAATCCCAGTAGCGAAGCCGACTTCTGTCCCCGTTTTGGCAGCTTGTCTCCCTCCCCTTCTCCCCCCATCCCCCCCCACCACTGTTCCCCATCCCAGCATCGCCTGCCCTCAAACAGCACCAAGCCGCGGGCCGAGCGTCGTGTGGGCCCCCTGCGCGGATGAATTCCGCCATCCGCCTCTCCCCGCCGTGACCAGCGCAGGCCGCCCGTTCCCCTATCCCGCCGTCCATCCGCATCGCCGCGTCGCCAGCATGCCTCGCCCGCATCATTGTCGCTCCACACTCAGAGCCGCGCGCCAAATCGTCGCAGCAGTCGCTGGCGCGCGTACCGGCATCGCATCAGGCAGCGCGCTCGCGCCCGCGCTGATTGCGCACTCCCCGCCCCCGCCTCCCCCCCTTGCTGCTGCCCCCCCGCATTCCTTCCGCAGCAGCGCGTTTCCCGCGTTCGAGGGGGCAGCAGTAAGGGGTACTGCGCGACATGGCGGCCTTCCCGCGTATGCGGGTGCTTTGCTCTCCGCCGCTGCGGCGGCCGTGGCAGCAGCGGTAGTGGCGGGAGAGGAAACCCTGGCGCGCAGTGAGTGCGAGGGGGTAGAGAGGGGGATGAATGGGAGAGAAACGCGGGGAGCCGAGATGGGCGAGCGCAAGGGGGAGGAGGTGAGGGAGAAGGAGAGGGGGGCAGCGACAGCGGAGAGGGGGGAAGAGAAAGGGGCGGGGGAAGGAGAGGGGGAGAAGGAGCGCGGGGCAGAGAGGGGCGGGTTGGCAGCGGAGGTGCGGGCGGGGCTGGTGGCGGCGGTGGGGGAGGAGGGCGTGGTGGAGGAGTGGGACGAGCGGCACAGCCACGCCAAGCCGTGGAACAGCTACCACCAGGTGGCCAAGCTGCCCGCTGCCGTCGTGTACCCCAGGTAACAGGTGGCGCCCACGCTGCCCATGCGCTGCCGTGCTGCCCATGTGCTGTCTTGCTGCCCATGTGCTGTCTTGCTGCCCATGTGCTGTCTTGCTGCCCATGTGCTGTCTTGCTGCCCATGTGCTGTCGTGCTGCCCATGTGCTGTCTTGCTGCCCATGTGCTGTCTTGCTGCCACGCCTGTGCTGCTGGCTGCTGCTCTCATCGCTTGCGCTCAGTCCGTCTTCCCCCCTCATGCCCACTGCAACCCCGCCTCTCATGTGCCATCGCATGGCATGGCATGTCGCACACGGCACGGCGCCAGGAGCACGGAGCAGGTGGCGGCGGTGGTGCGGGTGTGCGCGCAGCACGGGGTGCCGGTGGTGGCGTATGGCGGGGGCACGTCGCTGGAGGGCCACACCACCACGCCCATGGGGGGAGTCACCATCAACATGACGCGCATGGCCGTGAGTGCTGCCATCAACATGACGCGCATGGCAGTGAGTGCTGCCATTGCATGTCTCATGTCTCTTGCACCACCTGCTCTCTCACCTCGCCGCTGCCCCCCATGCGGCACGTCATCCGGCCCCCGTGGCATCCGCCATTCCGCAGGCCCTCTGCCCGAGCGTGTGCTGGTGGTGCATGCGGCGGACATGGATGCGTGGATGCGGTGGTGCAGCCGGGCCTGTGATGATGACGCTGCTGGCCGCCTTCAACCACCCGCCACCCCCTCATCTCTCATCCCCCCGACCCACGTGCCTCCATTCCCTCATGCCGCCATATCCCCCCTGGTCCACGCCAGAGCGTGCTGGCGGTGCACGCGGCGGACATGGACGCGGTGGTGCAGCCGGGCATCACGTGGGGCGCCCTCAACGACCACCTGCGCCCCCTCGGCCTCTTCTTCCCTCTCGACCCCGGCCCCGGCGCCACCATCGGCGGCATGGCGGCCACGCGCTGCAGCGGGTCCTTGGCGGTGCGCTACGGCACCATGCGCGACAACGTCATCGCGCTCAAGGTGGCCTTGCAGCTGTGTGCGCTCTGACATGCGACTGTTGTTGCTGGCGCTGCTGGGCAAGGCTATGGCGTGTTGCCGTTCCCCCCGTCCCAACCGCCTCGCCTTCCTCTCCACCTTTTCCCGACTCACTTCCATCTCTGCCGCACCCAACACCTCGCTATCCGCCCGCGTCCTTCAGGCAGTGCTGGCGAGCGGCGAGGTGGTGAAGACAGCGGCGCGCACACGCAAGAGCGCGGCGGGGTACGACTTGACGCGGCTGCTGATCGGGTCAGAGGGTACGCTGGGCGTGATCACCGAGGTCACCGTGCGCCTGCACCGCATCCCCACGCTCTCCGCCGTCGCCATGTGCCCCTTCCCCTCCATCCGGGCCGCCGCTGACGCCGCCATCGCCACCGTGCACAGCGGGGTCGAGGTGAGAGGGAGGAGGATGAGATGAAGGAAAGGGAGGGGGGGGGGAGGGGGGAAGGGGGGAAGGGGGAAGGGGCCCAGGATGCAAAATGTCAGTTTTGAAGTGAGGCTTGGGGGGCTCGAATGCAGCTTCTTTCACATGCAGTTGACGCCCTTGTTGCAACCACCCTTTGTTTTCCTCCCCTGCTTGCTGCGCCTCCTCCCCGTGCCCCCAGGCGTCACGAGTGGAGCTGCTGGACGACGTGATGCTGCGGGCGTTCAACCAGGCCAACGGGTACAGCTACCCGCAGCAGCCCACGCTCATGTTCGAGCTCACCGCCGCCACCCCCGAGCACCTGGCGCAGCAGCTGGCCGTGGTGCGCGGCGTGGCGGAGGCGCACGGTGCGGGCAAGATGCGGTTCGCGGAGGGCGAGGAGGAGAAGCGGGAGCTGTGGCGCGCACGCAAGGAGGCCCTGTGGGCTGCGTACTCACTGCGCCCTGGCACAGAGCCCCTCATCACTGTGCGTGTCGTGGTTGGGAGGGGCGAGATGGTAGTACCATGAGTGAATTGTAGCTATCATCCCCCTTGCCACCTCCAATAGCCCGTGCACAGACCGACATGGACCAGCCGTGCTGCCATGCCCTCCCCACCCTCTCCTCTCCCCCCCCCCGTCCTCCCCCCCTGGCAGGATGTGTGTGTGCCGCTGTCCCGCCTGGCGGAGTGCATGGACGCCACCAAGGCGGACGTGCAGCGCTCCGCCCTGCCATGCCCCATGCTGGCGCACGCGGGCGACGGCAACTTCCACGTGTGCATCTTCTTCGACCCAACCAGTGCCGAGGAGACGGCCGAGGCCAAGGCGCTGTCCGCCGCCATCACGCTCAGGGCGCTCGCCATGGACGGTGGGTCATGGGGCGCCATGGACGGTGGGTCATGGGGCGCCATGGACGGTGGGTCATGGGGCGCCATGGCAGGGGTGCCTGCGAGAGTACCCCTTGTGGCCACGCCGTTGCATGTCACTGATGGTTCCATCCCAGCCCTCACCTCCCATCCCTTGCTACCCTGTCCATCCCTCCCTGCCAAACCAAACTCTCCATGCCCTCGGTGTGTGTGTGGCAGGCACGTGCACGGGCGAGCACGGGGTGGGCGTGGGCAAGACACAGTACCTGGAGAGGGAGCTGGGGCAGGAGGCGGTGGGCGCCATGCAGGCTGTGAAGGATGCGCTGGACCCCCAGGGCATCCTCAACCCGGGCAAGGTGCTCCCGCCCAGACCACACTGCCTCTCGTGACCAGCCCTGTGGAGGATGGGCATTGGGCATTGGGCAGTCACACATGCAGTGATGCATTTCCCAATCACTGTCCTTAGTATCTCCACCCATTTGCAGTGTTGTTTAGGCTCTATGCAGGGCATGCCCTCTTTTAAACCCTCTGCATTGCAAATCAGTCCAAATCTTTCCAAGATTCTGGCAAGTTTCCTTCTGTTTGGTTGTTCCTTGCAACAGGCATAATTGGTTGTGTTTTACCCTTGAGTGAGCTGAGTGCTCAACATATGGCATACATTAGGTTCAAGTGCAGCTCCTAGTGGTGCGCACAGCAGGGAAGTTAAATACGGCAAGTCAAGTGGCAGTGGAGGGGAGAGGGGGAAGGGGCGATGACATGAGGGTGAGTGGGGTGGAGGGAGGTATGGCAGAGGGGGAGTCAGGCACGTCTGTGTCTGAGGAGGGCTGCTGGTGGGTGAGGGAGATGGAGCGAGAGGGAGGGAGGGAGGAGGAGGGGGTGCGGGGGACAGGGAGATGCGGCACGAGAGGGAAGGGCGGAGGTAGCAGCAGCCGTGCCGCCAGGAGGGCTTCACACTCCCGGCCCTCCTCCCCTGCTTCTGCTGCTCGCTCGGGTTCGGCCCAAGTTTGAGCAGTGTGAGGCATGTCAGTGATGTCAATGCTGAAGCGGTCTGACGCGTCTGGGCTGCCAAGCGGACTCACTCCTGGCTCACAAGTCAGCATTGCTGCTGCGGCACCTGCTGTTGGCAGTACCGGCATGGCAGCATTGCAAGCAGCGGCACGAGGGCATGGAGTGCAGGTGCTGTTGCCACTGCAGAGGCCAGTCGTTGGCACGCTCGTGGCAACTGCTGCAGCCTCCTGCTCATCCTCCTGCTGCTGATGCTGATGCTGATGCTTCACCACCTCCTGCGCCACCTGTTCTGACTCACAACCCTGCTCCTGCCTGCCCACGTCAAGAGCGACATTACCGTCTCCTGCTGCCTCCTCTGCCTGCTGCTGCTGCTGAATAAGAGGTTGGCAGGAGGACGGCTGCCCGTGCTGCTGCTGTGTGCAGTGGTGATGGTGGTGGTGCCGCTGGTGGTGCTGGTGACTGGTGCAGTGCCCATGTGCGTGCAGCTGGTTGTCATGCTCATGGCAGTGGTGCTGGTGGTGATGGTGGTGATGGTGGTGGTGGTGTGGGTGGTTATCTGCGTTTCTCTGCTGCCCCATCTCACTCCTTGCGTCCTGCCTCTCCACCTGCTGCTGCATCCCCCCCTGCTCCTCCACAACCCCTCCCCTCTCCACGCGCCCCTCTGCTCCACCGCGTTGCACATCAACCTCCCCTTCCTGCTGCCTATGCTCCTGCCGCCTCTGCTGCCGTCGCTGCCGTTGCTGCCACCTCTCCTCTTGCCGCCATCGCCGCTCCCTCTGTTGCTGCAGAGCGAGGTGTTGCTGCTGCTGGCGCTGCATCTGCTGCAGGCGCAGGGTGTGCAGGCGCACGAGCTCGGCGTACCACGGCCGCCCGCGCAGCTGGAAGCGGCTCAGAGGGGCGTGGCGGAACATGGCCGACAGCGTTCCGGGGAAAATGCCCAGGCGCTGGGGGTGGGAGGGGGGGGAGAAAGGGGGGAGAGAGAGAGACAAGGTGGGCAGGTGCAGAGTGGGGCAACTCCAGTGAGCTTGCATGCAGGACAGAAGACGGACGAGCAGGACAGAAGGCGGACGAGCAGGACAGAAGGCGGACGAGCAGGACAGAAGGCGGACGAGCAGGACAGAAGGCGGACGAGCAGGACAGAAGGCGGACGAGCAGGACAGAAGGCGGACGAGCAGGACAGAAGGCGGACGAGCAGGACAGAAGGCGGACGAGCAGGACAGAAGGCGGACGAGCAGGACAGAAGGCGGACGAGCAGGACAGGAGGCGGCAAGACGAAACGAGGTGAACGAGAGGTGAATGAGAGCGGAGGAAGGGCAGTGGGGGCAGCATATATGGAGTGAGAGGCTTACAGCGAGCCAGGTGCGGCGATTGGGGGGAGGCATGGGTCGGCCCATGAGGCGGGAGAAGAGGCGGCGCTCCGCATCCTCCACCTGGTGCACGGTAGGGGGCGATCCAGGAGGGGTGATTGGGGAAGAGAGGGCAGAAGGCGATAGAGGAAGACAACAGGAGGCAGTAGACGTGAGGAATGGGGGTGAGGGCAGGTAGAGAAGGCACCCCGATACACAGCACTGTGGCAATAGAGGTGAGAGGGGCGCTCACCTTGAGGGCGGCACTGACCTTGAGGGCGGAGTATCGGAGGCGCAGAGCGAGGAGGATGACGAGGAGGCGGAAGAGCAGGAAGGGGCGCAGTGCCTCGAGGGCGGAGATGAAGGTGATGATCAGCTCCACCACGATGTACAGCGTCAGCAGGCTCTGGGGGGGTGCAAAGGGGATGTGATCATGGGAGGGGTTTGCAGGATTAGGAGGGGGGCAGAGAGCTGTGAGGTAAATGCAAGAAAACCGTTATGTCCAGCGAAACAGCACTACGTTTGCTGGGTGTCAGCATGAGGTATATGGGCAGATGGAAAGGCGGTGGGGTGGGCGAGGAGGACATGGCATGGAATGCGAGCGGACCGGTCTGCGCTTCACACGCCCGGCTCACTTGCCATGCTTGAGCAGTGCACTCACCACGTTCTCCAGGATGGCCCCTGCAAAGCCGATCATGTCCAGCGACAGGTACAGCACGCTGAGAGGGGGAGAGAGGAGCACAGGGGAGAGGAAGGAACGGTGCTGTGAGCAAAGCAGCAAGTTTGGAAGAAATGGTTTGGACGATGAAGGGAAAGCAGGAAGGCGCGATGGTGGATCAGGGATGGGGGAGGGGGCATAGAGGCACAAGTAAAACAACAGGTTGGGCAGGTAAATGGTGGAGGCGAGAGTGGGTAGGAGTGAGGAGGGAGTGCTGACAGGTAGGCCATGGCGACCCAGATGTTGGAGGAGGTGAGCATGGCATGCGACACGTAGTCGAAGTTGCTGTCCAGCCCCATCGCCGCCTGCCCCTGCCCCTCCGCTGCCGGGTTCGCCGCCACCACGCCCTGCTCCGCGCTCTTGCCTCTGTTCGCCAGCACGCCAGCTGCGCTCAGTGCGGGGTGGAAGGAGAAACGGGAGGAGGAGGTGGCAGTGGAGGTGGAGTGGATAAGAAACGCAACAAAATGAGATGAATGTGAAAGAGTGTGCACTAGGCAGCAGGCAGCGCTTGTCAGAACGAGGAGGGTGGAGCGCGAGGCAGTGGTGAGCAATGAGGGTGACAGCCCAGAATGCACTGATAAGGGAGGCAGCCTAAAGCTAAAACGCACCGATGAAGGAGACGATGTAGAAGACGCACCGATGAAGGAGACGATGTAGAAGACGGAGCCGAGCAGCAGCATGGCGATGAAGAGGCGCTTCACGCGCTGGAACCACTTGACACAGCGCGCGTCGAAGATGGCCTCCATGCCGCTCACGTCCACGCCCTCCCACCCGCCCCGCGTGCCCGCAGGCGGCGGGGGCAGCACCACGTGCACCGCCTCTATCCACGTGTCGCCCTCTGTTTGGCTGGACGGCTCCAGGAGAGGAGCTGTTGGCAGGGCGCGAAAGGGCAGGGAGGAGGCGAAGGAGTTGAGGAAAGTGAAGAGTAGAGGGCAGAGTGAGGCATTGAAGAGGGTAGGGAAACTGGCTACGCATTTAGGACAGGGAAGGGTTGTAAGGCGAGAGGGCATGGAAGGTGGGCAAAGAGAGGGGAGCGCAGGCACTTAAGTGCAAAGGTTTACCGAAGTGAAAGTTCAGCATGGCTGCTCCTGCATTGTCTGCCTCGTTATCCGCACTGGCCTTGCTCTCTGCTTCACTGCTCTGGCTGTAGCCGCTGCTACAGCTGATAGTGCTGCTGTCGCTCTCTCCTCCATCACCCTCCCCTTCCGCATGCGGCCAACCAGACTCCCTGCCCCGCTCCTCCTGGCCCTCCTCTGCCCCGCGCTCAACATCGTCGCCTCCCCGACATTCCATACAGTAACCCTCGTTATCGTCACACTCATCATAGTGCAACGAGCCCTCTTCCCTGTCCTCCAAATGATCGCTCTCGTCGTAGTCACTGTCACCGTCGCCAGACTCAGAAGCACCCCCACCGTCTGCTGCAGACACACCAGGGCCTCTACCAGCCAATGCTCGCCCTCTCGTGTGCGCTCTCCCGTTCCTTCCCCACCGCACCACCGCATCCACCCCGCCTCGCCACTGGTCCATGAGCACTTGGATTCTCCTCCTCCCTCGCCTCCTCCTCCTCCCCCCCTCTCCCTCCTGCTCGTACCCGTCATCGCTGTCGTACTCGCTATCGCCATACCCGTTACTGTAGTTATCCTCTCCGCTGTCTGCGCCAGCCGCCTGCGCGCTCTCAGTTCCCTGCCTTGATCCCCCAGGATCCCCACGGTCTCCCTGTGCCCCTGCGCTTCCTCTCGAGCCCTCCGGCCCGCCCCTGCCTCCGGCGGCGACTAGCTCCGTGCCCACGAAGAACGACGCCCCGGGGCCGTGAATCACCACGGACAGCGGACGCGGCTCCCCGGGACCTTCCCCCTCCGCCTCACCGCTCTCCTCGTCAATCGCACTCCCCCCGGCTCCTCTTGCCGCAGCTGCCCTCCGCCTCCTCCTGCCGCCTCTCGCTCTCGATCCTTGAGGCGTTGGATTGCTCTGCTGCGCGGAACTCGCACCTCCCCCTATCAGTCCGCACGCGCGCATTAGACCGCCGCCATCCTCCGCCCTGCCCGGACTCGACGCCGGTTCTTCCGCTATAGTCACTTCCGTCTGAAATAATGAATTTCCCGCGCTCTCTGCCTGCTCAACTTCTGCCAGGTTTCCGCTCTCCCGGCTGCTACCGGCACCTCGTGCGCCATTGTCCCCAGCGACTCCCCCGATGCACGTGCAAGCGCTGCACGGTGGGGGGGAGAGTGGATGGCGAGGCGACGACGCCTCTGCGATGACGTCAGCCGTTGATAGGGGTAACGTGAGCGGCAGACCACTCGGGTGTGAAGCAGGGGATGCTACGGCGGAAAACGGGGCGGTCAGCGACGAGGCCTTGGCTTCGCCGTCACGGACCTGCGAAGCAGCTCCGTCGCGCTGAGCAGGGCCGGGTCGAAGAGCGCTGTTCACCTCGCTGTAGTCACCTTCGACCACCCTGTTACCGCTGCTGGTGGTGGTGCTGGTATTTCCTGCCATTAAGCCCATGCCCCATCCCGTACTGCTGCTGGTTTCCTTGCAAAAAGTCGGCTTGCTGATGCTGCTCTCTGGACCGTCGATTGTAATCTCAACGGCGTCCGTTGATCTTGTAGGATGCCTACCCTGAAGAGTAAGCGCGCAGCCGTCAGCTAACTCCACCTCCTGGCAAGCGCGCTGAAACGACTGTGACTGTAACAGAGGCCACCCCTCCCCGGCCTGGTCAGGCATCGATACAGTCATTTCTGCAGCACAGGCCGGTATTTCCCGGACATCACATTCATCATTTCCACAACCCCTCGCTAGGGAAGCCGTGCAATCAGCCATTTCCAGAGCTACAGCCGCTGACTGGCAGAATGGAACGGTAAGAAACCGATCAGGACTTTCTCGACGCGATGGAACTCGTCAAAACAGCTACGGAAACGAAATGGTAACAACTATTAGCGAAATTAGGTTATGGTGAAAGAATGACGGATCAGCGACTGGTATCAGGAGGCAAAAATAAATCAGAGGAAGTAGTCAGCGCTGAAAAAAGTCGTGCTAGCTCAGCGGAGCAGTAATAGTTAGCGCGGTCACTGGGAACTGCTGATAGCTAACTTGCCATGGCGGCTCACCACCCTGTCACTCACCACTTGCTTCTCTCTACATACAAGCATGCACCATGAGAATGACTGGAATGGGACAACTGAGTGGAGGGACAGCAAAGTTGAGGCAGGCGGAGTTTCCGAAGCAAGAAAGTGGCACTGGCTTCCCCAGCAGGCCTCTGGAAGTCAGGGTAATTACACTGCTTTGTCAAGGAAAACAGGGTGAAATTTCTACCTAGCCCTGCTTTTGACGCATTCAGAATATCGATAGCCGTCCATGGACAGGCAAGCCAAAATCATCCCACAGCCGATTTTCGAGTTGGGGATGGACTCACCCTGTGAAATCTAATGCAGAGTTCGCTTCCCTACAAAAAATGCCCCCCCCTGTCATTGTCAGGAGTGGAACATTCCGAGCTGGTCGAAACTCTGGCCTGCAAAAACAGACAAAAGTTTTAGGGCTACCCAGCCTGGACGAGTTGGATCCCAGGCAAACTCGGATTCTGCAGGGTGACCCCTAGGTTATCGAGAGGCCTGTTCCCCAGCCACCACTCAGCAAAGCACAATCCAGCGGCAGCGCGTGGGCCGTGCCTGGCACTCGCTGGGTGCTCGCCTCACCAGCGGTGGTTGGAGGGGACGGGCTGTAAATCCGCCTGGCAACTGAGTGCCGGGCGACGGGCGAAGATGTGCGTCTTGCGACTGGGATCACCCCCCTCAGCACAATCTCTAGGCGCGGTCACCTTCCCTGGGATCGCCGCATCGCTGTGTAAATCAGTGCGAGCGACCGCCAGCAAGGCTGGTGGGATCCGTCGCATAAGCCACTTCCTATCTATAATTGTGTGGCTCCTCGGAATATTCAGGGTCGCAGATCCATACGCGTTACCTGGTTGAAGCAGTTATGCCTCCCTAGTACGTACAACTCTTAGGTCTCGTTAGAATAAGCAAAGAACTAGAAGTTAAATTCAGGTTCAAGCATGTAGGTAGTGAGTTCTTGTATTTTCATAAGCTACAATATGGCTGTTGGAAATATCTCAAAGGACTTAAGCGTTTCTGAAGTGTAACACTACACTCGAGGAAGATCGCAACGGGTATGCGAGTCAACGGAGGTTACACGAAGGGATGGACAAAGAACGCGAAGGGACTCGAAGGGTCGCAACTGGAGGTTGCGACTGACCGTTACAACAGCGCGAATGGTAACGAAGCGACAATCGAGTCGCTGTGCGACTTGATAACCGCTCCTGCAACTGTATTCTACAACTGCTTTACTTTCCTATTTCCTATATATTGCTGTATGCTTGTTTCTCTATTCAATCACTTGTTCTCATATACTAGTACAAGGGTTCAACTACTCAACTTCCGCTGCACTACTCAAGTCTCAATCCTCAACTGGGACTTAGTCTCTGGAAAGATCCTAAGGGCTTTTCTCAGCCCAACATGGTATGAGAGCTGGTCAGAGACCAAACTCACAGCAACTACGCTCTATCCACAATCTGCAATTCAACGACTTCATTGATTACAAGTCATGGACAACAAGGGCAAGAAAACCTCTACGGGCTCACCCAGCGCCCAAGACATTCAACCCGGCAACTCTGGATTGCATACTTCAGGACTGCAAACCGAGACCGGCGCTGCTCAAGAAACAACAGGAAGAGCACCGGAAATTATGACCCCATCACCCTCTTCAAGCGTGGATCCGAACCTTATGGAAAGGTTCTTCAGCTTCATGTCGCACTTCGACCGGCAGCAGCAGACAAGGACACCTGCGCATTCAACACAGAGCAACGGAGGAAACATGGGATTAGCGCCGATGAGCCTCGACAATTCATCGTTCGGGCGACACAATCAAGCGCCTACCTTTGCGCCTTATCACTCTTCACCGGGGACGTTCGAGTTCATGCCGCCCCGTGCCCAACCAACAGCAGCTGCATCACAACAAACACCAAACGAGATTTTAAATCTCCAGGCGCAGTTTTCACACGTGATTAAACTGCAGACATCCTCACCATTCAACGGGCACGATTTCTTTACCTGGAGTTTTGAGTTTGAGCTGCTGATGGAGGCTGCGCATCTCCTGGGATACTTCAACGGGTCCCTGCCATTCCCAAGCAACGGCACTGCAAAGGAGCAAGAAATATTTACTTATCAGTCGCTGCTGGCGTACACAGTTCTCCTGCGGAACCTGTCACCACAAGAACAGCAGAGCATCAGAACATATCGGAGCTATGGAAACTACGCGGAACTCGCATGGCATCATCTCAAGTGTCTCTATCAAGAAAACAACAACGTGACACAAAGCAGACTCATGCAACAGCTGACAACAATACAGATGAAGACCGGGGAAAAGGCGATGCAGTATATGAGTCGCTGCCAGACCCTCCGCGACCGCCTGCTTCGGTGCGGAGGAACAATCACTGAAGAAAGCTTCGTGACGCTTGTCCTCGCCGGGCTCGGACCAGAATGGAGAACCACACGCTCGCTTCTTCGCGCCCACGGAAGGATCTCGGAGATGCACCTCTGCGCCGAGCTTCATGTTGAACAACAGGAGATGGACCTGTTCGAAGAAAGACAACCAAGGAAGCAGCAGCAGTTAGTTTTCTACACTAAACGAAGGAACGACAACAACTACAATCGACGCGGCAAGCAAGATCAACGTGACAACAGAGGACTCACCTTCGTGCCGCCGTTCTGCCACAACTGTCAGACTTCCGGACATTCCAAAGTCAACTGCACACGTCCTCGTGTTTATCGTCCAGTAGACCCTCAAGTCGCCTCCACTCAAGAAAGTCCTCCAAGGCGTTCTTCCACATCTGCACAAGGGACACCAAACATCATCAACTGCATGGTACACATCGACAACTGCGCACCCGAATCACCACCCACTTACGCGCCAGATGAAGAAGAATTCCCGCCGCCGCGCTCACAAGGACTTCAGGTCAACCCGACATACGCTGCGGTCACCAACGCCGAACCCACCGGGCGAAACACCTGGTTCTTGGACAGCTGCTGCGGTCAACACATGTGCTCTTCCGGACGCTTCGTGCAACGAGAGCGACGCCTCAACCGCGACGTCATCATCACCGTCGCCAACAACGAGAACCTGAAAACAAACAGACAAGGAGTGGTTCAGTTACAATCCATGGAGACAAACGTTATACTTCAACTCAACAAAGTCCTCATCGTCGACAACTTGGGATACAACTTACTAAGCGTAAGCCAGCTAATGGCAAAAGGGATTCACCTGGAGTGCGACTCCTACTCCAACGAGTTTCGCCTTTACCACGGGAAGGGCGGTCTCTTCATCGGTCGTGCTCTCCTGAAGTCCGGCGTCTTCGTGTTGGACTTCGTCCCCGACCGCGGTACTGCCGACAGCGACGGAATCGTGTCGTTCGCCGCCTGGACACACCCGCTGGATCTTGACCCCGACTTCGACCCTGACGGATTCTGGCACTCCAACACCATACCTGCAGCAGAGAGAACACGAGCATTAGTAGTCATCAGACAAGAAAGACAAGTACCAGCAAGTGTCCCTTCCCAACCATCACCTGCAATAGCAGCAGCAGGACCCAGCCGAGTACAACCACCAGCGATCAGAGGACCGCCAACCGAAGCAGATCAACTTATGCCCATCACACGAGAAGTCTGTCGAAGTCCCGCCACGGTCGTCGCGTTCTTCTCCAACACCGACATATACCACCGCTCGCCCGGCCACCGCGCTCCCGATGACATCTGGCACCAACGACTCGGGCACCCTGCAAACAGTACAATACTGCAAACCATCCAAGCCGAAGTGTTAGAACGCAACGCTCTCCTAACAACGAGCGGCCAAGAACTTCGACGACCACGCGCACGGTGCTTTACGTGCCCCGAAGCCGATCTTCCTCACCAGTCTTTCCCATCTCATCACAACCCAAGCGCACCTGCATACGCACCGATGGAAAAAGTCTACAGCGACATTTTAAACATGCCTCGAGAAGACACAGAAGCCGACTTCAACTATGTCATCACGTTTATCGACGCAGCAACAAGATACGTCTGGCACTACAACCTCAAGACGCGCGATCAAGCCTTCGACGCCTTCACGACATGGCTACCCATCGCCGAACGAGAATCAGGAACCAAGCTCAAGAGCTTCCAGTCAGACGGTGCACTGGAATACCAGTTACAACGCTTCAGGACCTACAGTATCTGGCGGAAAGAGGAATCAAACGCCTGGTGTCCCTGCCCTATGCTCACCAGCAGCAGGGGGTCGCAGAACGCATGAACCGGACCTTGCAGACGACGATGCGAAAGCTGCTCCTGGGGATGAGACTGCCCACCACACTGTGGCCAGACGCGATGACACATGCAGTCCACCTGCACAACCTGTTGTCCTCGTCATCGCTTCCCAACAACGCATCACCGCACCTGCTGTGGACACAAAAAAGGGGCAGCACAAAATTACTTCGAGTTTTCGGCTGCATGGTACAGTACAGACCCCACACAGCCCGAGCAGGACGCTTCACTCAACGGGCTCGGTGGGGACTACACCTCGGCATCGCAAAACATTTTCACGCATGGAAGATCCTCGACATACAAGACAAAAATACGGTGGCATCACGTGATGTTATCTTCTACGAGCGACTGACGCTGCAGCATTACCTGGACAGCATTGCCAACACACACGACCCCACCGACGGCTTCGCGGGCCTTCGTTCCTTCGCCGACCGTGCTGCCGAGGCTGACGCAGCAGAAGAAGACGTACCTGGAGCCTCGGAATCTGCCGGACCACTCCCTTTCTGTCCCGTACCTGTTCCACTCGACGAAGACAATCCTCTCGATAGCAACAACCTCAACACCTTTTACCACTTCGCTGACCAAGGTTACGTTACACCCCACCCGGTCGACACGAATGTTTCAGAACGCATCGGCCCAAACTTCTTACCTGATCCAGAAGACGGTGACGAAGCAGCCTATTCCGGGAATGAAAATTCCCCTCGACACACACCCACGGGACTGCAGATCCTCGGCCTATGGGTCTCCGTCCAGCATCCGCCGCCGCCATCTCCGCGCGAGCCCTCGACTCTGTCGCAGGCTCTGGGGGGGGAACATAAGGCGAAATGGAAGGAGGCGATGGAAAAGGAGCTAAAGGCTCTGCAAGACCGAAATACATGGAAGCTGGTACCTGCAACAAGCATCAACGGGAAGAACGTCCTCTCGGGAAAATGGGTGTACCGCATCAAGACCAATGCAGACGGTTCCATCGAACGATTCAAAGCTCGATGGGTCGTACGAGGGTTCGATCAACAATACGGAACCGACTACACAGAAACATTCGCCCCAGTCTCCCGTCACACCTCATTGCGCATCCTACTCGCCGTCGCGGCCACGAAGAAACTACCATTGCGCCAAATCGATGTCGCAAATGCTTTCCTGTACGCACCTGTGGACGCTGAGATCTTCGTCGAGCAACCCCACGGATTCATCGACGACCCCACAAAAGTATGCCAGCTGATAAAATCCCTATACGGGATCAAGCAAGCCCCGCGGCTCTGGCAACAGCATCTTCACGGTCGCCTCGTAAAAATCGGATTCCTACAGCTGCCGCATGACCAAGGCATGTACCGACTGCAGAAAGGAAGAGAGTATATCCTACTCATCGTTTACGTCGACGACCCGCTCTACATCGGTTCCACTACCGACATCGCCACCTGGTTCGAAGGGGAGCTGAAAGAGGACTTGACACTCACGGTGTCCGACGCAGTGACCCAGTACCTAGGACTGAATGTCGTCGAAGACAACTCGGCGTTCTACCTACACGTTGGAAAGTACGCAGGCACTGTCGCGAAGAAATTCGGTCTAACGCCGACTACGGTCCCGACTCCCTACCGCTACGGGAACAACAACAGCACCTCCGCAAAACTCCCCGCGAAGCAAATCCAGGAGTATCAGCAGAAGCTCGGCTGCCTACTATTCGCAGCAGTAACCTGCCGACCCGATCTCTCTTATAGCGCGAGCCAACTGGCGACGCATCTGAAGCAACCGGAACAAGAAGATCTCGAGGAACTTAATCGGGCACTACTCTACTTCCTCTCCACGCCGACGACCGGACTCACCTACAGCAAAGCAACGACACCGTCCGTACGACTACTCGGATACGTCGACGCCGACCACGTGGGAGACAAGGAAAACCGACGATCGAGAACGGGCTACATCTACCGACTAGAACCTATCGGGACTATCTCCTGGCAGTCGAGCAAGCAGGAACTAATCGCACTATCTTCGGCTGAAGCAGAGTATATCGCCCTCTATACTGCGACCAAGGAAGGACTCTACCTACGAGAGTTGCTCGAGGAAGCGAAGATTGCGACCCTGCCCGTCTTCTCACTCCTCTGCGACAACCAATCTGCGATCAAAATCGCGAACAAGGACGGCTTCGCCAACCGAACCAAGCACATCGCCCTGCGGTACTTCTTCGTCAAGGATGAAATCGCGAAGGGGAGACTTCAACTCAGTTACTGCCCAACGATAGAAATGGCCGCAGACTATCTGACGAAGAAATTGGCGAAGGCAAAATTCGACTATTGCACGCTGCTGACCGGGCAGACAAACGTCACCGGATCTGAACACGTCAGCACTCCAGAAACGAAGGGGAGTGTTGGAAATATCTCAAAGGACTTAAGCGTTTCTGAAGTGTAACACTACACTCGAGGAAGATCGCAACGGGTATGCGAGTCAACGGAGGTTACACGAGGGGATGGACAAAGAACGCGAAGGGACTCGAAGGGTCGCAACTGGAGGTTGCGACTGACCGTTACAACAGCGCGAATGGTAAACGAAGCGACAATCGAGTCGCTGTGCGACTCGATAACCGCTCCTGCAACTGTATTCTACAACTGCTTTACTTTCCTATTTCCTATATATTGCTGTATGCTTGTTTCTCTATTCAATCACTTGTTCTCATATACTAGTACAAGGGTTCAACTACTCAACTTCTGCTGCACTACTCAAGTCTCAATCCTCAACTGGGACTTAGTCTCTGGAAAGATCCTAAGGGCTTTTCTCAGCCCAACAATGGCCAAATATTTGACGTGCGTCATAATATTTGAGACATCAAATAAACGCTCGTAGAAAGATGAAGTGTAGAAATCAGGGCCTCGGATTGCAGGCTTTTTACCCTGATTCAGGGTAAAATCAGGGCTTTTTTTTAGGGTGACCCTGATGAGAGAGGATTTTTTAAAGACACAGGCCTGAGATTTCAGCGTTTTTTTAGGAGTGAACTCTGATCAATCAACGTTACTAGTGTAGTGAGCCCTGTTTGTCCATATTCGAGTTATAGCAGCTTCGCAACCCCCACCCCTCCACCCGTGATTTCCGTGAGTTTCCCCAACCCTCCCTGTCACTCCCGCCAACTTGAATGTGGCCGTCCATATTTGTTTCCGACGCGGTCGTACTTTCAAAGCCCAATCCTAGCCTTGGTCCCTCTGCGCCTGCTACCATTGAGAACCCTGCTACTGCATAATACTAGGCATATAATACATGATTTCTGTATATAATCATGTTTACTCAGCGTGAAAATTTCTAGGGACCCTGATGGATTCGGGAATTTTTTTTTGGAGAGGCCTGAAAAATCAGGAGACCAAGGTGGGGGGACCCTGAGCTTTCAGGGTGCCTATAAACGAATCTGAGGCCCTGGTAGAAATTGAATGGCAGGTTCCGGATTGGAAGAGCGGAGGAAGCGAGAAAGAGAAGTATGGTGAGGAGGGTGAAATGATCCAATATAGTCCGTAGGATCTTCATGATTGAACTGAAGGAGTGCGCTTTGCGGAAACAATTGATTGATCGATAAACTTTGTCAGAGTGAGTGTAACTTAACAGAATGGGAAAGTACATCGGCGCTCAGTATTAGGGGCCTCGATAATATGTACGGTCAGTGACGCAATATAAACAATCAGAATTAGCGAGTTCGCAACATGTTTCATCAGTCGGGTTCCACGGTTAGTCAGAAACTGTAGGAAAACAGTTCCACGAATGGTCAGTAGAAGTAACCCCCGCCCGTGTAGGAACGTTTTCCCGCTCGCGCCAGCCCAATTTCGTCATCATTGTGGCAGGCGCGAAATTTCTCCCCAGCTCCAGGCGCAGTTCGAGAGAAGTACGAAAACTATTCCCAAAATAAACATTCTTTGAACGTCGCGCACACAAAAATTCCAAAATTGAGACCTTGCACATTTCTGTCATATAAGCTAATCGGGCCACAGTGGGCCGCACATCGGGTGCGACATTGTTCAAACATTAACAAACGCGCACAAAAATAAAAATAAAAATTGACACACAAGGGCAAATCTATCCGGGATCCGCGCTAAGCCAGTGAGGCATCAATATTCTACTGTGCCGCGCATGCGATAATTTTTTAACTATATGGATCCATTAGCATGACTATGTAAATAGTTGGATGAAAGTGCCATACTAGAACTACGTATAATGCTATAATTCAAAATAGTCAATAATGGAAAACAAATGTGTTCATGTTTTCCATCATTTCTTGTTTTGTGTTTTAAGAAAAAAAGAAAGAAACAAGCTATCTCTTCCCAAACTAGCTGAATGGGATTTTCTTATATATCTGTAATATAATGTAATGTATTAATCACACTATATTACTGGTAAAAAAATCATGGAAAACAAAAATTGTAAATGTTTTCCATAATTGCCTATCGCGTATTTATGTCGACGACAAAAATAGGCAATCGCTTCCCTAGCTAAGTGGAGGAAATCGAAAGCCTAGTGGACAAGTCACACGACATATTTTGAGGCAATACATTTCATGACAACAACAAAATGGATTGCACTTATCATCTCCAGTTCAAATGACTACAGTCAAGGTGGAAAATTAAAGAAGGGAAAGTACATCGGCACTTAGTATTAGGGGCCTCGATAATATGTACGGTCAGTGACGCAATATAAACAATCAGAATTAGCCAGTTCGCAACATGTTTCATCAGTCGGGTTCCACGGTTAGTCAGAAACTGTAGGAAAAAAGTTCCACGAATGGTCAGTAGAAGTAACCCCCGCCCGTCTAGGAACGTTTTCCCGCTGGCTCCAGCCCAATTTCGTCATCATTGTGGCAGGCGCGAAAGTTCTCCCCAGCTCCAGGCGCAGTTCGAGCGAAAAAACGTAATATACCCAAATTTAATTTGATTGGACACAAGTTATTTGAGAAACAAGAAAATGCGATTTTGTTTCGAAACACATACTTTTGTGGTAGAGTGTAGTGCGTTCCGTGAAGCTTAAGAATGGCGGTTTTGTCTCTACCGCATTTACGCCCCCCCAAAAAGTCAAGCCTTAAACTTATCGCCATTCCCGAATCGCTTGAAAAAAAAAACATATAATGAAAACTATGGAAATTTATTTTGGGAAATGAATATGTTTAAAAGTGCAGCAAAGTACACTCATAGCCGCACAAAATTTTGTATTAACTTAAGTACAACAAATCTTTTAGATTTATGCCGGCTATGGTTATAAAATTTCTCACAAATGAATTTACTGCAAAAACATTCCCGCTAATTCACGACTCTACAAGTCACGTCATGCTCGAAAAAAATTATCGCATGCGCGGCACAGTAGAATATTGATGCCTCACTGGCTTAGCGCGGATCCCGGATAGATTTGCCCTTGTGTGTCAAATATTTTTTTGTTGTGTGCGCGTTTGTTAATGCTTGAACAATGTCGCACCTGATGTGCGGCCCACTGTGGCCCGATT